TTTTATACAAAACAGTCAGAATATTCAAAAAAGCTTTACTCAAACCAGTAGAGTGCTTTTTTTTTAGTTTACATCGATTCTAAATTTAAATAATAGAAACCAAGTTATTCTTAACTGCAGCATCTTACATGGAAGTGATTTATGAATGAGAAACAAGTTGTTTAGCATGTTCTATGTTTAAGAAAATGCAGTTCATTTATAGTTAATATATTCTTGTCAGCCTAAGTTGACTTGAAACAAGTTTTTTATTTTAATAGAAGTGCACTGTTGAGTGACATATGGGCTTTGCCATTTGTCAAGAGGAGGGGTGTGATGAGTACAATAACATAACTTTGATTTAACTTTGTTAGCTTATAAACAAAAGCAAAATGTGTATGAGACATTTATATTTAGACTGGTTCTGAAACCACAAATATGTAAAAGAAAAAAAATCACCCCATCTTAATCCAAAGTTTCATTTTTTGTGTATCAAATATGTTTAATTTTTTTAAGATTTTGTTTTATGTTTAATTTTTTTAAGACTTTGCTTTCAGTTTAGCAAAACTTTAGCTAGTTTGAAAGATTTATTTTTCTATTGAAACACTTATTAAGCCTGAAATAGTTTAAATTTTTTATTATTATTATTATTCTTGGTAGACCCTACAGGATTCCTGTGATTAGATCAGATTTACAGGAGGCAAATGAAGGACAGAAGCTTGCAGACTCCATAAAAAAAGTGTCCAGTGCAAGATTACTGTCTCCTGATTCTGTATTCCTCCAGGAAACCATGCAACAGTAAAATCAGGTGACTGGTTTTACATAAAGGTTATCAAAAGAAAGAACTGGACCAGTCCACATGGAGAGGGTCCATTCCAGGTCTTGCTGACATCATCAACAGCAGTGAAAGTTGCTGAATGATCGACGTGGGTTCGTCTCTCACATTGCAAGCTGCAGAGAGTGCCACACCCCTGAACAAGTGGAGTAGTGGGAAAAGTCTGGTTTACAAAGGGATTCGGTCATCAACTAGGGGCCGTTTGTCTCAAACCCAGTGAAGAACTCAACGACCCTACTCATATTAGCGTTCAGGGGCCCCCGGTGACTCTGCAATCCAAGCAGTGAAGAATCGTCCAGGAGGGGAGACCCTGAGCTGAGCTGTGACTGACGTGTGTGGACCAGTGAGTGATGGAGCCAAGACGTGTCCATTTCGAGATGGAGGAGCCCAGATGTGGCCTCTACAGCATGGACGGTTTGAGACGCGCCCTTTTTGGCATGGTGAGGCCACCTCCACGTGTGACATCTGTGACACCTCAACACCCACGGCGAGGAAGAAGATAATCAGATGAACTGGTTGCAGCGCCACCTTGTGTTTTCTATACAGCAATATCCTTTCCTAGTGGTATTCCTATTGAATTGGTTGTTCTGGCCTCTTATTACAGGTAAAGCGGTGTTAGTGGCTGCCAGACCACAAATTCAGGTACATAAGAGATTTCAATTCACAGGTCCCAACCCAGCATTTTACTCTGCCAAGACACGCACACAATGGAAGCCCGGTTGCACCATTGGGCCCAACATTACTATCGTTGCAAATACAACCTCCACTGTGTTAATTGACCCTTGTGTGTATTTTAAGTGTGAAGACAGTTGTAGTTTGGGATGGGCAGACACATACATGTTTGTTATAAATACACCTATAAACAATGTCCCACCTGTGATAAATGGGTGTAAGACCACAGCAGCTATTAATTGGAGTTATAAAAAGACACTGAAGGAGTTAAATCCAGACTGTCCATTTGGAAAGTTAACAACACCTCACCTGCCATTATGTTTCAACTCCAGAACGCTCAGATAATCCCCCTCTTTTCACCTGTTAGGCTCTGATTACATCTCTGCAGTTCATGATGTGGACAGCCACCGCCAGCTTGGAAATATGTGGTGGAATGTGGTGCGAATTTATCTACTTGCTGCACAGGTGAACTCCTCATGCTATGCCTGCACTCTTTTCCCCCAGGATGGAGCCATGTCTTTGCCAGTTCGACCACATCCTTTAAATGAGTCAGAGGTATTTTGCACTTTAATGGCCCTTACACCACCATACCAGGCGGCAAAAAATGGATGGATGCTAGTTAGAGCTAATATCACAGAGCTTTGTAAATATTTAGCTAACACCACCCTAAGAGCAACAAATAGTTCAGTTTGAAGACTAAAGATGCCCATCTYTTTGAGTCATTAGGATCAGTTCATCCTTACTTTTCTCAGGTGACTCACCCGGTCTGTTTTCACATGCCTTTTCACAAGAGTAGAGTTTTTCTTGGCACCACGCAGGGATGTAAGCACATCTTGAGCGCCACTTCTACAGCACCGCCCTGGGATGCTTCTGGGTGTCACCTCCCAGGAAGAGGCATCCAAAGCCAAGTCTTCTTTAAAATTCCATAATGTCAGCCATGTTTCTCAGCTTATTGTGTGGCCTGGTGATTGCGGATTAGGAAGTCATCAAGATTCAGTCTGGCTTTGTGGTTCCCACTACTTTCAGGCTTTAACCCCGCTGTGGTCCGGAACGTGTGCCCTAGTGGATCTGAGACCTGCCATTTTGGTACTGGACTCTCTGGTGTATAACACCCACCACTACCCACAGTTCATGGCAGAACCCAGACCCCTGTACCGACAGAAGAGGTCTGAGGTGATCTCAGGTGGGGTGAAGTTCGTGAGTGGGGTGCTCCCCTGGTGGGGGATGGTGAATAATGCACACCACATTGACCAGCTTCTTATGAGGCTTGAGAGTCTGACGGAGATTGTGGAGGATGGATTCTCAGCCCTGGGTCCCTTCGTCATCGCCACCAGAAACATGCTCTTACAACATAAAATGGCTTTGGRCCTGCTTTTCGCTTCCCAGGGTGGTCTCTGTCATGTGATTTGGGGGTTCTTGTTGCGCTTGCATTCCTGAGGTTTCCGGAAACATCACTCAAACTGTACAGCACTTGAATAAACTCCTGGCCGACATGAAAGCTGAAGATGTCACTGAGTCTAAGGGATGGGATTGGTGGACTTGGCTCACAGCCGGTGGTTGGCAAGCTTGGTTAGTTAGGGTCCTAACACCATTAATTTGTGTGTTTGTTTTGCTTATGATCTGTTCCTGCTGTATTGTCCCCATGATCAAAAAATGTGTCACGTCTGTCTTTGTATCCCTGTTCCTGCAACATGCTCATCAATACTTATTTGTTCCAAGAGAGGAGCAGGATTTTTGATGACCCCTTATCTCTGGTGACCTTTAAACTGAAACTTGCAGTTTGTAAATAAGTTAAACAGTTTTTATATTTCATTATCATTATCCTGAGGGAAAGTTTTATTCTGAAGCAATAACATTTCTTAGGTCTCAACTAAAAAAAAAAAAAGGACCAACAGAAGCTCATTTGTTTTGACTCCTATATTAACATAAACAAACAAAACAAAAAGTGTTTTTATTATATGTTTATAAGCTTTTCTTAACAAGCTTACATTACAATGTTTTATTAAATAAGCTTTTCTTAACAAGCTTCCATTACAATGTTTTATTAAATAAGCTTTTCTTAACAAGCTTCCATTACAATGTTTTATTAAATAAGCTTTTCTTAACAAGCTTCCAT